CACCAGCTGTCATGTTGACGCTGTCATCTGTCAAATGTGACAGATTAGTAAAGTTTCCCGCGCAAAGAGTTGGAACGTCCTTTCGAGTGGGAAGAGCATTACGCGAATAACTTTATTATTAAACTTTTCAGTATTTAACTAATTAATGACTGTTACTTAAAAGTACTTATTCTAAACACTAAACTACTCTGAAGATATGCAGCTAAATGTCTCCAATTAAACAATAAATAACATAACATGCTTCTATCTATCTATCTTAAAGATCCAAAGCGTGCTAGATGTTATCTGACAGCGACACGGCTTCCCTTGCGTGCCCGCAGATGCGCTCGCGCTCGCTACCGGTGCAGCCCAGTTATCCAGTGTAACTAATATGGACATAACTGCGAACACTATTTGCTGTTATTACGGAAAATATGGGCATTGTTTCATGTCAGTTAAGAGTTGTACCTATACCATATGATGACGTAAAAGTAAAAATACTGTCGGTACTGTCTCATACTTTTCCCGTAGGTGTCGAAAATGTAAAGGATGATCTAGCCCGTTTCTCATTAATTGATCGCAATTCCATGGTTTCATTTAAATGGCGGTTAACAGCGGCGGATTCATGTATTTCTTCTGCCTCCAAACCCCGGCGGGAAACTGCGCAGCGTATTATGTTTGTAGCATACAATGCCCATATGTAATTGAGCCTAGTATGGTTCAGAAGCGAAATCCTGCGGCAGGAGAACCGCCCATGAAGTACAGCCCTAAGATACTTCTCGATAATGACCTCGTCTTCCAGCCTTTATTAACGTTGCCTCACTCTAGGATTTTTTCCTATATTTTGAAATTTTATATGCCCATCATACCCACCATGCAGTTAAGCAGCCTCTAAGATGCATAGCTTCTTTATGAACCAATTTATAACTATAATAGATCAATAAATACAGCCTTCAACAGACCAGCTGTCTGCATAAATTGACCATCTATTGTCATCATGACAACTATCTTTATATGACTATAAACTTGTTATTTATCGACTGACCTAATTATATTACACGCTGATGAAAAAGGACGCCTCTGTGTTAAATGAATGATCATTTCATTTGACTTCTAGACCCTGATGTGTTTATTTATTGGATTGTTTTAAAGTATAGTAATGTTTAAGTCCAACCAATTTGAGGCTGAGGACGATTTGTGGCTGTTATGATATAGATGATGTTAGATATCATCATCAACAGCCTATAAGTGACCACTGCTGAGCAAAGCCTCTTCTCACACGGAGAAGGTTTGAGCATTAATCACCACTCTTGCTCAATGCGGGTAGCCGATTACAAACTTCATCAACAGCCTGTTTTCGTCCACTGCTGGACATAAGCCTCTCCAATGGCACGCCACTGAGCTCGATCTTCAGCTCTACGCATCCAACCACTACCAGCCACTTTACGTATATCGTCACTCCACCTAGCTGGAGGGCGCCCTACACTACGTTTGCCTAGACGCGGTCTCCACTCTAGAACACGTCTACTCCAGCGGTCATCGGTTCTTCGACAAATGTGACCGGCCCACTGCCATTTCAGCTTGCTAATTCTTTGGGCTACATCGGTAACTTTAGTTCTCTGTCGGATCACCTCGTTACGGATCCTATCCTTCAGAGATACTCCGAGCATAGCCCTCTCCATAGCTCGCTGCGCCACCTTAAATTGGTGGACCAGTCGCACTGTTAGTGTCCACGTCTCGGCTCCGTATGTCATGACTGGTAGGACGCACTCGTTGAAGACTTTCGTCTTCAGGCTTTGCGGTAGAGTTGACGAAAAGACCCGACAGAGTTTCCTATACGCCGCCCAGCCAAGCTGTATCCTTCTACGAGCCTCCCTCTCGAAGCTGTTTCTACCAAACTGCAGGGTCTGTCCTAGGTAGACATACTCCTGAACAACCTCGAGAGTAGACCCATTCAGGGTGATCGGCTCCGGAAGAACATGTTCATTGAACATCACCTTCGTTTTGTCTAGGTTCATCCGGAGTCCAATGCGAGCAGAAGAATCAGCCAGGCCGTTCAGCATACATTGTAGGTCTTGCACGGTTTCAGCCACAATGACGATGTCATCTGCAAATCTCAAGTGTGAGAGATACTTGCCGTTTATATTTATGCCCCGTCCCTTCCAGTGCAGCGTCTTGAACATATCCTCCAAAGCATTGGTAAATAATTTGGGAGAAATAACATCGCCTTGTCTTACCCCCCGATGCAAATAGACAGGTTCAGACTGCTGGTTCTGTACTTGGACGACCATAGTTGCAGTATCGTATAGATCTCTCAGCACTTGGACATATCGCCAATCGACTTGGCACCGTTGCAAGGACTCCAGAACAGAACAGATTACAAACTTATAATTAGAAATTATAACCCCAGGTTTCCTCACGATGTTTTCCTTCACCGTTTGTCAGTGGTGTCTATATCTTAGAAAGTACATATAACTCGGAAAAAGTCAGATTGGTACTTACCGTTGGTAGGTTTCGAGCCCGCATCCTCATATATGAGAAGGTCTTAAACCACCACGACTTCGCCTGTTGTTAGATATCAGCTACTCCTAAATACGAAGTCTCGGATTGAATTAGACATCGTATTTTGTAATCGGAACAATAAAGTATATGCGATGTTTCGTCCCCTCTAATTTTGTCCCAGAAAAATAAAAGATGGCTACTTCACATCTATTTTTCAGAACCAAAAAGTTACTAACACAATATCAATTATTCCCTTCCAAGCCACTAAAGCAAAAAATCAAAAATCGTTCTACATTAAACCAAGAATTTCCTAACCGCAGCCCGGAACTCTAAACTCAAAATGGCCGCCTGAATATTTCCATTGTAAAACGTCCCATCGTCCATTCACGTCCATCTAATGCACTTGCTCTATAACAGGTGCTATTAAACTGTGGTCGAAACTGGGTCACTATAAATGGCCTTACACTGTATTGTGGTCAATTGCACACCGATCTTTGTACTAAAACCTGCACGTCAATGTATACCACTTTATCATATTCTGCATAGGAGTTTAGATTTTATTACGAACGTGTTAAGTTGAAAATCAATTGGTGATGTTAGATAAATTAGTATAGTATGATTTGCTGGTGTGTATTCGATTTATGTATGTCTATTAGAACTGGTTTATATTGATATCTATGGCGCGGAATTGAATTTAATGGTGTTAGATTTGTATTTATGGTGCTTGTTAGTTATCAACCAATCACTATCATCTTCATCAACAGCCTATTACTATTTAATGATTTTGGCTGTTATTGCTAGACAATATCAAAAATAAAAACTTTGTATTGGTCGATAACCAACCCGCATTGAGCAAGCATGGTGATTAATGCTCTAACCTTCTCCGTATGAGAAGAGGCTTTGCTCAGCAGTGGGCATTTATAGGCTGTTGATGATGATTCCTTCGAAATTATTAGCACCAATTTTCAATACCAAGTCTCGAACGAATTGAAAATTATACCACACTCATGTATATGTACAAAACATGAAAAAATAATCGAGAGTGCTATTATGTAGTCAGGTGTTATATAAATGGAAAGACTTTCGATTCTGACGCGACTATGCACAATTACTTGCGTTCAGACACCGATGCGAATTTGACATGAATCCTCTATGTTCTCACTTAGGTAATAGAATCGACTGTCGTGTACTTACTATATTATAGGCTGGCGATTTTTTGCGTAATACCTACGTGTAATTATGTAGTGTTATGTTTTGTTTTTTGGCCTGCCTCGTTGGCCGAGTGGTCGCAAGTGCGACTGCCGGGCAAGGGGTCTCGGGTTCGATTCCCGGGTTGAATAAAGTATTACTGGGTTTTTTAAAATCTCAGTAGTAGCATGGAGTCTGGAAATTGCCATATGGCAATAGACTCACCCCCTATTACATGGGACTCATAACATAAATAGTGAAAAGTTGGTGTTACATTGGACAGTGGTATAAAGTGCCGAAATGTGCACCTCTGCCTACCCCTTCGGGGATAAAAAGGCGTTATGTTATGTTATGTTTTGTTTTTCATCATCATTATCAACAGCTTCTGATAATCCACTGTTATCTATATATTCTTACAGAAACGAATACTTTCTACGATATATTGATTTGAAATGGTGCGTGACGTCACTTCTATGAACATTTTAATTTTATACGTAGAAATGACGTTATAGCCCCCACTCCTAAACTTTGATTCGTTCTATCTAAGTATCATTTTATTATACTACAAAATAAAAAAGGACGTGTCTAATATTTTTTCATTAAGTACCTAACTGACGGACTATATAGATTTTTAATTTTCATACCCCGTCATCATCCCAATTAATAATCAGAACTAAACTCCATCCAGACGCAATATTTACTACAACAATCTTGTCGTCAAGTCAGCTACCGACTCGGTAACTATGCTATCGTGTATCGTAACAAACAAAACAAACCGATACACTTAATTTATCATCTGTTGTCGTCGATTGTGTAATTTGTTGTTAAAATAACAATCTAATAATAACATGTATCTTACAATAGCAAATATAAACTTTAGCGGATATGGTCATAGAGTTCATAGTAATGTAAATAGTATTGTTTTGAGTAGATGAATCATTACTTTATATTGTATCAGACTAGTTGTCTAGGTTTATTAGCCTAGGTCATGTATTTTTGTTATTATTTAATGTGGTAGGCGTTTGCCTTTGTCACACAATATAGGAAGCACTCAAGAACTTTGTCTTAAGTTTATCCTATATTGTATAGAACTATTTTTAGGCATACTTTTCGTATTGCACCTCTGCCTACTCCTCGGGGATAAACGGCGTGACGTTATGATACTTTCCGAATCTACATTAAAAAGATCCAATCAGCCAATCTCGCATTTCAATCGAGTGATGAAGCGAAAACTACGACGAATAAATCGTACACGAACTAATATTTTAACTAATAACGATTTTCTATTTAAACAGAACAACATAATTGAATCCATTTTCTCATTGTTACAGATTATGTTCAGAGGTGGCGTCGTTGGCGAGCTTGACGCACGTCGCGACGCAGCACTCGCGCGCGTACTCGTACGCTTACAGGCGCGTGCGCGAGGCCTCCTCGCTCGTAGACGCGCGCAACGCCTGCGCACGCAACACACGGCTGCGCGGTGCGTGCAACGCAACGTTCGCGCATTCCTCGCAGTTCGAGACTGGCCGTGGTGGCGGCTGCTCGTACGAGTCACGCCGCTGCTGGCTGTTCATAGAACCGAACACCGACTTAAACAGGCTCAGGTAAGAATAAAAAAAGCATATCATAAATGTTCAAAAATAAGTAAACTCTTTATGCTTGCTCATTGATATGTATGTGTTATATGAAATTTAAGAATAAAAGCTCTGTATTTTATGAAAAGCCCAAGATAGCATACAACTTCTAACCTCCGAAACCATCATGACATTCGAGAAAATCCTGATATATCAACATATGCGTTTGTACACACGGCTACACATCGAGCTTTACATAACCAGTATAAACTGAACGTTAGATGTGCGGAAAGATGATGCGACGCGACACCAGGATAAACTGGTTTTGTAGAGGTATAGATTGATGTGTGGCCGTGTATTCAATTATATGTACTTACATATACATACTTCACTATCTAAGAGATGTAGAACTCATATTTCGTATAACTTTCTGCTGTGATTTCTGACTGCAGTTCTCTAGAAATTGAGAATAAAAAAACTAATCGATACAGACATCCAATTTTATCTATCAATTGAAATCTATTTTGTGTCTATTAGCTCTCAAATCGATTTCAATTTTAGTATATTGATCGTGCATAAACGTGGTAAACGGGTTTGTAAAAAAAATTAAAGAAAATATACAATAACTCACTCGGCTTGATTCTTATTATGTAGGATATAGGTAAGGTACACTCAAATTTAGTCTAAATTAACGTAGTTTTTAAGTTTATACTCCAGTGACAGAGACTCTGCCACCACACAACACCTGGTATTCTATCCGCTTGACCCTTAATTACCTAAAAACGTATTAAATCACTACATAGTATAAAACAAAGTCACTATCCGCCGTCTGTCTGTCCCTATGTATGCTTAGATCTTTAAAAATACGCAACAGATTTTGATGTGATTTTTATTAATAGATAGTGTGGTTCTTAAGGAAGATTTATATGTTTAGTATATGCATATTGTACCCGTGCGAAGCCGGGGCGGGTCGCTAGTATTATACAAAGAAAAGAAAGTTGGTTTTTCTTTATCTAGGTACCAATTCGTAGAAAAAAGGTGTAATATTATTATGGCATACTCAGAATCTACCGCCTACGATCATCACACTAACAAGGCATTAGGCGGTAGGCAGTTCTCATAGTAATTTATCAAAATTGATTTTATAGCTGACATTATGATTTCATTTTGATCATAAATTTTCTAAGTAATTGTATGTGTGAATGTAACTAGGGAGGGATTCGAAAGTGTAAAATTGTTGGTGATCGTCTCGTTGGTCGAGAGGTCTTAAGTACGAACGAGGCGTCCTGGGTTTGATTTTCCGTTCTGACAAAGTATTATTGTGGATGTTTAAGATTATCAGGCATTGATAATAAACTTACCCTTTATTACGTTTTATTCATTATGTAAATGTTCAAAATGGGGTTTGCTTTTTGTTGCTATGGTTTAATTGACTTGACTGCGCGGTTGGCGCGATGGCTGGGCAACTGGCTGCCGCGCAAAGTGTCGTGGGTTCGATTCCCGCACGGGACAACTCTTTGTGTGATCCACAGATTGTTGTTCCGGGTCTGGGTGTCATGTGTATCTGATATTGTATGTTTGTTAATGTACACACGACACAGGAGAAAATGTTAGTGTGGGGAGAGGTTTTAAAAAAAAATTATCACGACTGACAGAAACTGAATTAGACATTGCGAAATAGACCTTTGGTTCGTACTTAAGTCTCCGCTTACCAACTCAATAAACTAAGGGCAAGATGTTATTTTTATTTAAGAGAATGGGAGAGATTCGAAAGTGTATATTATATTAGTGTGAGTGTGAGAAAATATCTAGGTTTTTGATTGGTACCCTAATTTGCGGAAATTAAATAATTTTTTTTTACGCCGCCATAATAGCGGTCGCGTCGGTCAATGTTAATAGCAAAGATTATTATTTGTTATTATATATTTTACTTACATCCGTTTGAAATAGAAAATATTACTTTGGCTTTTCATTATTGAAAGGTGAAATTAGTTGAATGGATTGCAGTAGTGGTGGTTGGCGAGACGTTTTTTAATGCAAAATACATATATCGTACAGGCAGCAAACTTCATTTCCAGATTTTTGCTGTTTCCGATAATTTCAAAAATCAGAGACTTAATTTTGACATAACATCACGCCTTTTATCCCCGAAGGGATAGGCAGATTACGGCACTTAATGCCACTGTACAATGCAACACCCACTTTTCACTATTTATGTTATGAGTCCCATGTAATAAGGGGTGAGCCTATTGCCATATACCGGGCACAATTCCAGACTCCGTGCTACTACTAAGGTTTTTACAAACCCAGTAATACTTTGCCCGACCCGGGTTCAAACCCGAGATCCCTTGCCCGGTAGTCTCACTTTCGACCACTCGGCCAACGAGGCAGTCAAACTTAATTTTGAACAAACAATTAAACTCAAACCTGGTGCTAGTTATCTACCAGACTCTCCATAGTCCCTAAGAAATAAAAGTACTCCTAACATAAACTTAGTGTCGATTCTATTAAAAAAATGTCGAACCCAAATGCACTCTGGCCTCAAGAGTACATTGTCGCCGGTCGCAGGTTATCATCCCGCCCACACAATGCGACAGCAAGCAGAGATTTCCGGCTTCTAATCGAAACTTTAATAAATGGGTCGACAATATCTTCAAATCTGACATAACTGAGTTGGTAATATGACTCTTGAGACATTTTTTTGTTAAAAGGCTTTGCTAAGCTAAGAATATTGTCGCGGAGAACCTAACGGGTTACCAGGGCTCCGGCTTGAAGTGCAGGAGTAGGAACGGGGTGGTTTTTAGTCAGTAAGAGTCTGATACTCCCTCCCGCCTCACCCAGGCGGAAGAAGGCATTCGATGATTTCCCCCCTTAAAAAAAATCTAGGAATTTTATTTCCAAGTAAAATAATGATTGGCTGGGCAACCGGCTGCCGCACAGCGTGTCGCGGGTTCGATTCCCGCACGGAACAACTCTTTGTGTGATCAACAGATTGTTGTTCCGGGTCTGGGTGTAATTTGTATGTGAACTTGTACACAGAAGAAAGATAGAGTGTGGGACAACGTCATTAAAAAAATAAAAATTGATTGCTAAATAGTATTGTGTTTGTGGACTTTCAAATTATTCCAATAGCTCAAACGAAGCGAATATAAAGTTTTATGTGGCCAATAAATAAGGAAATTAATCTATTAGTACCTGAAATAAATCTATTTTGTTCTATTCTATTCTTATAGTAACATGACTGACGAAAATTTAATACCTTAGTACCTCACTTAAGCAACGAGTTTGAAAATATTATTCCGCTCAGTGTTCGAACGCCTGATCAATTCCATGTTGTATTTTCGTCGACACGCTGGCGCGTATTCGCAATTGTAAATCGACCAGGCGCAGTACGAATCGGGACGTTTAGTAGCGATAGTATTTTTTATACATTCTTGACGATTAGTAACTAAATACTTACGTAGTAATCTGAAAACTTATAAAAGGTTACTAATGTACCAACTCAATTATATTTCGTGGTGGCCTGGAGGTTTATGACGCCCACTTCTCATGCATGAGGGTGAGGGTTCGAAACCTACCAACGGCAAGTACCAATGTGACTTTTTCCGAGTTATAATGTATTTTCTAAAATTATCTAGACACCACGGACAAACGGTGAAGGAAAACACCGTGAGGAAACCTGGGCTTATAATTTCTAATTATAAGTTTGTGATCACCAACCCGCATTGAGCAAGCGTGGTGATTAATGCACAAACCTTCTCCGTGTGAGAAGAGGCTTTGCTCAGCAGTGGGCATTTAATTGAAGGCTGATGATGATGATGATCATTTATCCCACTTTGACTTTCAAATAAAGTACCTATAAAATATCTTTAGGTATAGTCCTATCGTCCCGAAGCTGCGGATTACCTAATGGGTTACCGGGGGTCCAGCTCAAACCAGGAGTAGGAACGGGGTGGTTTTTAGTCAATAAGAGTCTGACACTCTCGCTCGCCTCACCCAGGGTGAGATAAGTCATTGGATGATTTTCCCCCCTCAAAAAACAAAGATATAGTCCTATAACTCTGATAAATATTCATACTTCGACTATAGTTATTGTATGCACGGTTGGCGCGGTGGCTGGGCAACTGGCTGCCGTGCAACGTGTCGCTGGTTCGATTCCCGCTCACAACAATTATTTGTGTGATCCACAGATTGTTGTTCCGTGTCTGGGTGTCATGTTTATGTGAACTTGTATATTTGTAAACGCACCCACGACACAGGAGAAAATCGTTTAAAAACGTTTAAAAAAAATAGTTATTCCAAATCATACATTACTAACCTCCCACTGTTCCATTCATTCCATACTCTATACTTAGCCAAGAATCAATCTTCGGAATGAACTGGCAACACATTGCCAAAACATACATTTGGAAATAGCAGCAGAGAAATCAATTTCTCTAGATTTATGCACCTAGCAACAGCCGCAAGGGAGCCAAACTAAACGAAATAATGTTATTACATTATGTCTCAAGGGGTATTTTGTGTAGGGAAATAAATTGGGATTAATTCTCAGATTTAAGGAGTATTTGTAGCTTAGCTTATATTATGGTCAACCCTTTTGTATTGTATTGACGAAGACCATCGTCTAGCAGTGGACTGCTACATACATGATATAGACTAATCTGTAATGTAGACTAATCTGTAATGTAGACTAATCTGTAATGTAGACTAATCTGTAATGTAGACTAATCTGTAATCTGTAATCTAAAGGCCGATTTTTTAATCATCAATAAATTCTTAACTGTAGAATAAACTTGACGTTTGACAGTTTCTAGTATGGAAAAATTGAGTAGAGTAGAAAACATTTCTAGATTGTACTGGCGCTCTAGATTAAAGTTATAATCGTTTTAAATAAAATTATAAAAGTTTACTAATCTGCATTTAAATCTGTAAAGCTATTTTGAATGATTTGGCCACATTGTGCGTGTAATATCGACAAAATGAAACCATTTAAACGTCAATAACTTTAATGACTAAACTGATTTAAACCG